TATAAAGATAATTTCTTCCAAATGAAACCTGAGCAAGTTATTGTTTTCAGTAATATGGGTCTGTTTCCATTAAGGTAAACAAGTTATGATTATACATTCAAACAGTAACCTCTCCTATCCCTGATTTAGCTCCTATTCCCATTTTTATTAAGTTCTTTGCCATTTACTATTGGTCATTGTTGCTATGTTGCAAAACACTAGTTAGTACATATAGTGATAGTCAGAAAAGCCAACTTATAACATCCCTCTTATAAAAACTAGTGGAGAGAGAATTAAGGAGCATAAATTTAAGTCCCTGTTTCCACTGCACTGGTAGAATGACTTGATCGGAATCTTTTTGATATTAAATTCTTTTATAGGAAAAGAATTAAATCACAAACTTCAAGTATAAATCCAGGTATTTAATATTGAGCTTTGTGTATAACAATTATTATTCAGCTTAAGAAAACAAAATCCAGGTCTCCGATATATTCAAATTTTAAGACCATTACGAGAGCATAATCTAAGAAAGGAAAATAAAATTTAATTATAGAAATTGTATTCATAGTATATTTTGATGATCAGTCAGGAAGAATCTAGTCCTCAATGATGCTATTTTAATTCCCAGCCAGCATCCAAATCGAAGGTGGGTGCAGAAACAGATCAGTCTGTAGATGGCTTTGAGAAAGCTAAAAGGTTCTATGAAAGATTAAAAACAATCAAAAATAATAAACACTTCCTTGTATTTGAGGATTGGTGGTAAAAAGTAGAGTTTGAAGTTAAAATACCTCCATACTTCAGACCACTCTAAGGGTGCTTTGTGACGTTATATTCCTGTGTTCTGGGGGCATTTCATCCTTTCTGTGGAAAGATCAACTCATCTGTCACTAACTTATTCCAGTCCCAAATGTTGGTGGTAGTCCAGAGTCCAGCCCCTTCTCTACTATTTCATCATTCTTTTATAGGAAATAAAGCATCTGTTTAGAATCACAAGAAATCAATGGCATTGCTTTGGAAGGATTATAGTGGCTATCAGATAAGTTGTGTGTGTGTTTTATCTTTTATAGTTTGTAGAAGGAAGACTGCCTCCTCTTTCACACATGAATGAATGTTATTCATTCATTATTTGTGCACTTGAAGAGAATGTTAAGGTTCTTCTGAGATCAAGATACCTTGTGGTTAGAAAGGAAGGATCTATTTCCTACTTCATTTAAAATGTTCTAATAATCTTTATAATAAAAGAAACACTTGGGACATGAGGGGCCTGAGAGTTCTTCCTAGGACAGTTTTGTGGCTAATGCGAAAGTGCCACGTTCTAATTTCTGTAACTCTTACTTGTCACTGTCAATGAGTGTTACACTAGCATCCCAGCATATCATGTTTCTTACCTCTGTGTTGATGAAACTTGTTTATGTAACAGTAATGTCATTGGGTCTGTAAAGAAGGGGGCTGGTGGGAAATAAGAGATTGATATTATTCACTTTGCCCTGGGTGAGGGTTTGCTTCGTAGGCGAGCACACTGTATAGTTCACTCCACCCACAGCCCAACCTCTGAACAGAACTGTCCTGTGCTTCATGTTCTCCTATCACCGTTTTGAAAGTCTGAGTAATTTATGAACAAGGGACTCTAGGTTTCCATTTTGCACTCAGTACTTGAGCTGATTTTGTTGGTCCTGTTATAACACTGACTCTTCTTCCTGGCTATGTGGATCTGCCATCGGCCTCTAATCGTCCTCTGTCAACACATGCAATCTCTATTTAAATCAAAGAACTAAGCAAGTAATAACCTTTTTAAAGTAGATATTTTAAAACTTAACTTTACAGCACTGTTTCCTATGGAAGGCTTCTGACTTACTCATTTTTATAATAAACTAAGAAAAACAAGTAAATTTGTAATCCTACATTCTGTTTTTGGTGTGCATCTTGTTTGCGTTCATTTTAAACTTACTTAGTTGTGCTGGCTTTTGTTCTTCCTATAAGAAGACAGTTGAGAATACTACTTGGGCCCTATTTCTTTGAAGTGTAATTAGGAAAGAATTCAATTTGAAATATGTTTTCCTGTTCTTACCTTGAATAATATGCTTTTTTTTTTTTTTGCCCAATACTGACACATATAGCTTATTGTTACATGAACTAGGCCATTAGCATTAAGGATAAATTCTATTATTTATGAGTACAGACTTTTCCCTGAGACTGTAAAAGTAGATCTGTCAGCACCCACTGAGGTGCAGAACTCAATTTCCACTGCTGTGGTTCCACCCAATATGTTCAGTCTTAAATGCTATTGCAGGGTCTCCTTTGTGCTTTCTTGGTAAATAGGATTTCCTCTTCTCTTAAGTCCCTGGAGAATACACGAGTGTTTGCTCACTGGCTTTTAAAGCTTGGCCCCAAACTTTTCTCTTTATATATTTTGGGTGAAAAAATTCAAAGGGCCGGTGTCTCTTTGTTCTCATCCAAGGCCACAATTAGCTGAAGCTCCTTCTGTGTAGCTTGGAGGAGGACGAAGGGGTGGCCAACAGCCCTTTCACAGCCTGTGAGAAAGTGCTCAGCCAGCTCCTTTGTCCTTTTTGTCAGGGAAGGCTGCTTTGCTAATTGTACTGCTGTAGGGAAGCACGTGTCTCTGGGAGCATTATCTGATTCCTACAGGACCTTCAGGAGTGCTTTGTATACTGACCCTTAGCTTGAACACAAATATCTTTTCAGTCCTTTTTCCAGGCTGTTGCCGCAGGCTTGGATACCTGAGAGCTTTAGCTCCACCAGGGGTGTGGACACATTTGTACCAACCTCAGCCTCAGGTTTTATGTTGTTGTTTTTTTTCTGCCCTGGTTGTTTTACCTGCAGTTTTGCTCCACCTGTGGGGAGGGGAGGCTGAGGATGAAGGATGAAGAGGGCTAGGAGCTACAGAAGTCAGGGGACAGGGAAAGCGAGACAAACAGCTGCTCTTGTCAGCATGGGGATAAGTGTAAAGAGATTAATAGTTATTTGCAGAGCAAATGGGGAGGTGGCATTCAGCAGTGGAATGCGAATGCATGAATGCAATGGAATGGGCTGCGACTGTTAACATTTAGACAGATGCTCTGTGGACTGAATGGAATGGCCCAGTCGTTTCTCCTCTCCGTGGGGGAGAATTAGCGTCCAACAAAATAATTTCATTATTCTTGGAGGTTAAAAGGAAAAGAAATGTTCAGGGTCCCCTTGCTTTGTGGCTTTGTTCTGCAGTTTCCTTAGCCTGGGTTTCTTGGTTATTTTTCAATTGAAACTTCTTCATTTCCTTTCTAAAATATGCACCTCTTCTTGCATTTGACCCTGTTGCCATCTTCCTTAGCTGAAATTTCCATGTTTTGGAAGGTTTCACAGAGGGGAAACTGAGCTCTAAGCTGGTTGCACCTTCTGGACAGGTGTCATGTGGTTCAGGGTTAGGAATGACATGGGGCTGACTCCGCTGACCAGGCTGCCTGGTGTGGAAGCCGGGAAGGAGCCCTCTACTTAGTGCCAAAGGATTCAATTTCAAATTTTATACTCCACCTATTAGCTAGTGCTTGGGCAACTTGCTGCCCTTCTCTGGTAGTAATATAATAAATCTGTTTTTCAGATAAAATGGGAAGAAACTCATTCTTTTTTTTTTTTTAACTAACTCATTCTTTTTTTCCCTTAAATTCTTTTATTGGTGCATTTCAGGTATACAACACATTTACATTCATCATTGGGAACTTGTACCTGTACATGATGCATCTTGGTTCTTATTTTTTCCTCATTCCTTGTGCTCCCTTCACCCCCTCCACCCTTCCTTATTTACATAGACTTTGTTTCCATTTTTTCCATTTCTCATCATTTGTCCTTTCCCTTCTTTCCTTTCCCCTGCCCCTCCCACTACCCCTACCCCCTTTGGACCTTTTCTTCCTATTTTGCATTATCGATTATTCATTCTAATCATTGGTACATCTTAGGTATACAATATAATGACATTCATCATTGGAAATTTGCACCTTTACATAATCTCTCTTGGTTCTTATTTTTCACCCTTGCCCAGCCCTCCCTTCAACCCCTCCAGTCTTCCCTATTTACAAAGATTTTGTTCCTATTTTTCCATTTTCTCATATTAATCCCATTCCCTTCTATCCTTTCCCCTAGCCCTCCCACTTCCTTCCCCTTTGCCCCCTTTTTTCCCATTTCACATTACCTATTATACTAACTCATTCTTTTCATAAATACTTACTGAGTACTTATTCTGTGCCCCGATCCATTGGCATAGAAGACATAAAATCTGTCCAAAGGTACTGCATGAGCTGATGCACTTCTGAATTTATTCATAATGAGAGGATATTTATCTCACTTATACATGTTCTACTCTAGAAAAGAAAGTGGAAGAACGATTTTTTTAAAAAAACAAACCAGCTTTAGATGATAGACTGGCATGTTACCTTTTAAAGTCTATAACTGAGGCAGGGTGTGTTGACATGTACCTGGAGTTCCAACTACTGAAGAGCCTGAGGCGGGAGGATCGCTTGAGCCCAGGAGTCCTGTACTAGCGCGGACAGTACAAGATCCTCTCTCAGTCACTCAGTCAAGTCTGTCCGCTGCCTGAGGTGTTGTTGTTGGTGTCGTGGCACTACTTTCAGAGCTGTAAAACCCAGAAGAATCTCGATGATCGGTTGATTTTTCCCCTTTGTACAACAATATCGAATGGTCTTCGTCACTGGATGCTAAAGCACCCTCAGAAGGAATGACGGGTAGTATTTCCTTATTTTTAAGGGTTCCTATTGAACTACTTGGCAGCACTTTTTGCCTGCTTTGTGCAGAAGCCTGTACCCTACTTTCACTCTGTGGAGTGTGTGATCCGTGAAGGTCATCCCAAAGCCCTGCCCAGGCTTCTCACGGCGTCCTCGGCAGCACACGCTGCTGCTTTCGCTTCTCTCCACACGTTGCACACCTGTAGAATGCATGCACCCGATGTTACCGTTTCTGAAGCAATGGTCTGAGGCTTCCGTGGCTAACGTTGGGCTCTTGGGGTGTCCTTGCAGCCACAGTACACAAACCTGGGGCTCCTGAACAGCATGGACCAGCAGATTCAGAACGGCTCCTCGTCCACCAGCCCCTACAACACAGAGCACGCGCAGAACAGCGTCACGGCGCCCTCGCCCTACGCACAGCCCAGCTCCACCTTCGACGCCCTCTCGCCGTCGCCCGCGATCCCCTCCAACACCGACTACCCGGGCCCACACAGCTTCGACGTGTCCTTCCAGCAGTCCAGCACCGCCAAGTCGGCCACCTGGACGGTAAGGTCTGCCCCGGGCGCCGGCCTGGCCTGGTCTCTCCCTTCGGGTTTGGAGATTCCTGACTCAGGGATGGAGATTTGGTTCTTGAATCATTAACCCTGGGCCCGAGCGAAAAATGCCATGGATTGGGAGAAGTCCTGCCATCCCTGAGAACCAAATGCCTGCATCCCTAATGCCTGCATCCTATCCAGCTTCTAGCAGTTTCATGCGGTGCATTTCTGCCTACTTCACTCTGTCCTGAGGTCTTTTGCATGGAATTTGGGTTTTTTTAGAAAAAAAAAATACATTACGCCAATAAGAAGTAACATAATCATGGGATATGTGTTTACAGGCTCCAGCATGTGGAGGATTTATCAGTCTCATTACTGTGAAGATGAAAATGTCACAGTTAGAAGTGACTGAAAAAATAAAATAATAAAATAAAATAATATGAGGAACTTAGGGAAGTAAAATTTCACTTACTAAGTGCTGATAAGTTTATGCATCTAGAGTCTATAATATGAATCATAACTTATGGATATGTGCATGTTTATTAAATTTAGAAACATTTTTGCTGTTTGTCCCCCAAATAAAAGCTTCTAGAACTACCTGTCTGGGCCCTGAGCAAGGAAAAAGGTATTCTAATTTAAATTGTTGAGGGAAAAGATCTTTGTATGTGTAAGTTTTCTGAAACTAAGTGGAATTTTTTTCAAAAATTGAAAAAACACTTCCACAGTTACTGTAACATAGATAAAACTCCCATATAAGCAGAAAACCCTACAAAGCCGTTGGCTGTTTGATTGAAGAATATACAAGACCAAATTGGCATGGATGTTTATCATACAATTTAGTGTCTGCATGGTTTATAGAAATACTTCCAAATATCACTATCTTGTAGTGATAAAATGTAGCTTTAGATTTAACAGTTTTAATTGTTAAAGTTTTTCCTCTTTGGTAAAAATAATCTTTTGGAAATAAGTTCTATGTTTATCTTACATGTAGTATCTAGTTCACTATAGGTTTTAATCAGTACGGATTTTATTAAATAGACTGTATGTAACATTTATTACCTTTCTCTACAATTGTACCTGTGCTCCTGCATTTTGATCTAACGTCTCTGTGATGGACAGTGTCTATAACTCCTGCTGTGGGAGTGAGAAAAGATGAAGAACTTGGGAGATGTTTGAGAGACAGTCTTCAAGTTACACAGGCCTTGGTGTAGCTGGGCCTACTTTTGATCTCTGCCTTCTTCCCCCATTGGGTTGTGGTCTTTCTGTCTTTTCGATCATTTACATCAGAAAGCCTGGAAATTGTCTAAAACTTTTATTTATTTTTTAAATTTTAGTGCTTTCCTTTCATGGTTTGAAAATTCTGTCATGGCTCCTAGGTATTTCAACTGTTAAGTCTAAGCATTAACTTCAAACTTGATCTTTCTCCTACATATTACTTAGCAGTTGTGCCATATTATTCAATTTCATTTGTATTTATAATCATGGATATGGATACTACAGGTGAGTAAATTTAAGAGTTTGTAGACTCTAAATAGCTGGTTGATTGGTCTAACTAATATTTTGCTGAAGCGCCACCCAAATAACTATTTAATAAACGGGACATGTGTGTCAGGAGAGTCGTCGCCAGTTAAACGTTTACTGTCACTCACCTTCAAGGCTGACTGTTACCTGCCTGGTTGACTAAATCAGCACTTTGCTCTATTCCAAGTAGCCCCATCTGAGGGGATGATGAATGTATGGGGCCACTAAACTCATAGTCACATACCTTGCAAAATCATTTAAAACCTGTGAGGGTGAAGCTTGGTATAAATCCAGCCTCACGCCAGCCTTCCTCTCTCATCCTTGCTTTTCCATCTTTTCATGCAGACACCTTAAAGTCTTTTTGCAGATTTGATGCAGTCCTAAACCACCTTTGCTCAAAGGTGTTCTCTGAGAAATAAATTATCTCCTGAAGAGTTTTGGGGATTTCAACCAAAGTGGTAGATTAGGAAGAAGAGCAAGAATTCGGTGTAGCACACTGGTGACATTTCTTTATATATGCCAGCAGTCAAATCAGTACCCTGAAAAAAATAGAGAACCTGGTACTTAGGTGATGGAAGAGGAATACTGGACGAGAGGCAGAAGCCTTGGATTCTAGTCTTGGACATCTGTGAGAACTTAGCTAAGTCATCTCAGCTTCCTAGAGCTCAGTATTGCCTCAGATGAGGATGAGGATGATGAATGTACTCTGTTTCCTGAAGATAACAGTGTGAATAATAAGTGCAGAATGCTTTTAGAAAGTATTATGCTCTGTTTGAGCACTTTATCTGTCATTCGTGAGTGACCATTGCTAATTGGGTTTGTGTCTCTTGGATTCTCTTCTGTTATCTCCTGTCTATGCTGTAGATCTGAAGGAATAATGATCCTATTTGTATATTGCATGGTATCTATGTTTTTATTTAATAATTTCTTTCTTGTTCACAAGCAGACTTATTCCAGGTTCAGTAGAATTCTTCTAAACTGGGGCACCTGAACCCTTATCTAAGTAGCTGCTAAGATGATCTAAAATGACATTATATTCTTAGTAATGGATACCTGAATCTTATACATAGCAGCATCTAATTCTTTGAACCAGTTTATATAATCTTACATTTATACATAGGCTTCATATTGTTAAAAGTATTCTCTTGTGTATTTATCATAGCTGAGCCTCAAGACCAGATCTGTTATTGACTGTTTTATAAATAAGGAAACTGTAAGGAAAAGGTGGAAGGCTAATCACCAGCCAAGGAGGAAGAGAAGCCCAGGGCTCCTCATTCCATCTCACGTTTTCCACCCTGCTGTCTAGACAGTCTCTTTTTTCTGGCTGATGGGAGATAGAGACATCCTGGTGAAGCAGGCTCTGTGTGTTGTGGAGTTGTCCTCTCCAGTCCCAACTGATGAGGAGAATTTTTATGCCACGTTACACAACACCTATTACTTAGGCATCTGTGCTGAAAACAGTTTTTCCAAATAAAATGCTGTATTTTAGAACTGCCCGCAGACTAGCAGTAACAGAAGCAGCTGTCATTAGGGGGAGGCCACACATATTGCAAAGTCTTCTGGTAATCCTTTAATAAAAGTTGTCTTAATACCATTTTATCACTTGTCAACCTTTCCTGCTGAATTTTTCCCTTTGCATTTGTCTGGTTTTACTCTCAGAATTACTGTCAGAATATAGCTAGCGTATTTAAAGTATATATGCGTTTGCCTTTTGCTTTTCCAACGTTTTAAATAATGAATGTGATTATGGTTCCAGTTCTATAAAAATATAGTATTTATTTTAAACTTCTTCAAATGACATAAAGTGAAGGGTGATAACATTTTTCTGTGATCTCTATTTTATGCACACGTCCTCCAAACCAATACTTAAAATATGGTTCCAGACTCTCTTATTTCCACAATATAATTGATGCTAGTTATGCAGGCCATAATTTAATACAGTGTACTGCTGGTCTAGTATTTTAGCTGGAAGTCACCAGCCATAGGGCAGTTGAAAGAACGGTAGTGTAGAGATTGCAAGAAACACAAGTGTAGATTTCAATTCCGAAATTTATGAGCAGCATATGGTCTTTTGCCCCAAATTCAATCTCTCTAACCTTCCTTCCTTCCCCTGCAAATGGTGATGTTAATACTTTCCTTCTCATTCAGATTGCATGGCAAGAAAATATACCTATCAGTGCCTGGGACACGTGGCACATAAGCACTCACTGAATCTTCGTTTGAATCTCTTTGTTTCATGAGTTTATTGTAGTTTAATTGAGGGTTCTGTTTCCCAACAGGTAATAATTTGAGAGAATGTAAAGTAAAATGTCGACTGCTCCTTTTTTCCGTAATGATTTTGGGCTCTTCATGTGCATATTCCAGCCTCAAGGGACTATAATATTATCCACTGTCCAAATATATGAAGTAGATGCTGTAGGATAATAGACTTTCCTAAACGTGGACCTGCCGCTGGCTGTTCTGTTCTCTAAGCCTGTCTGAGACATTCACGCTTTCCTTGCCAGCACAGGGAAGGGCCCTTTCCACAGCTAGAGACCTGGTGACCTTAGACATTTCTTCTTCACTTCTAATCCTGTCCCTCTTTCATGGGGATGCCATTTTGTATTCCCTAGGTTTTCACAGGGACAAGCTAGAACAATCAATGCTGGGCATACAGTAGCCCTTACTACAGATCAAGGTGCTTTTTTTTCTCCTCGTGGTTAAAGGCAGGCATCATAGCTTTCAGCAACATGCCTCAGTTCTGACCCTGATCGTTAACTGTCCATAACATTGGTCCTTCTGCCTCCACCCATGATTTAGAGAAAGCATTCTTCTTTCGCCTTTCGTAATTGTGCCAGCCTCGTGTCATGTTCAGAGCTTTGAAGAATCTGACTTGAGCAAGTGGAGAGATTAGAGAGGTGTCATTTGAAAGGGGAACAGCCAGTTCCCGGGAGAGTTCCATTGATCCCGGCTTATTGGTCTCACTCTAGGTCTTGCAAGCTGGCTACTTTTGGCTCTGCAGGCAGGCAGGCTGAGATGTGTGTCTGTGACCCACCCTCCCTGTCATCAGGTTACCTGTAATGTAAGACTTTCAGAAAAAGGCTGCCAGCTCTGCAGAAATCTAATGCAAGCTAGCTCATCTCGTGGCCCTCTGGAATGCAGAGACTCTTAAGAATAGCCCATCAAAGGACATGATGTACAGACTAATTTTTCAATGATGAGTATGATTTATCAGCTTCCCTTCACAAAAGAAGCTCATCTGGGCTGGAGATGTAGCTCAGTACAGAGTTTAGGCTTAGCATGCTCAAGATCCTACCTTTGATCCTTAGCACCCCAAGTCCCCAAGAAAAAAAATCTCTCCTCAAAGTTTGAGCCATAATTAGAGAAATCACAAACTTGTGCCAGTGAAACATTTGTTCATAAAAAGGTTATTTTCACTTCTTGCAAGACATTTTTCATAAATCACCTGGATACTTAAAGAAGGATCTTCCCCTACTCCTCCCATGATGA